CTGCCGAACGCGGCCGTCAAAGTCGGGCGCTGCCCATCGGATCGGCTTCCAGTGCGCGGGAGCAGCTAGAGAGCTTTACGCCAATGAAGTGCTTGGAAACTCTCTATCTCTCTAAGAGAATTCGTAGATCTACTGTCCAAGGTGAGGCCAATGCCCACGGGTACCCGCCCGGGCAGCAAGCCAAGGACTCTGGAGCATCCCACTTATGTAGCTAATTGACATTAGTCTCGTGGACGGGCCGGGGCTTGGTGTCGGCCAACGAAATCCACCCACGCCTAACATGAGTGATGATAGAATTGGGATTCCAAGCCCACAACCGTGCTTGGTAAGGCTTCAGGCGGATACTGGTCATATCTACCTGCAAAATACGAAGATGACTTGTGTCTGCCCGTCTCAGTCCGATGGGTCACCCCATGTGGATGTTGCCAGCAATCACCTGCAGCCCTCACTTAGAGACACGCACAACAAGTTCCTCGAACGCGTGGTGTTCGAGCGTCTCTGTGGGTTACATTTGGCACCAGATTGGGCTCGAAAATTGCATTTTTCAAGGCAAGCACGAAGAGCACGCCGAAAGATGCGTCGTTGGGTAGAACGGGCGCCATGGCGGCACATATCTTCGGCAGCTCTGGACCCTCTGGCCGTTCACTACCACGAAACACTGGCCTCAAGCCTTGAGAGAGAGTTTGGTCCAGTGTCGAAGATGCATGTTCCACTGCTAAGTTTCTGTCTGTTCCTTAGGTTGTGCATAGAGCCATTCGATGTCACAGTTGCATTGACAATCTTAGAGGCATATGCTGGATCCCGCGTTGACTCGTTAAACGTGCGATGCTACCCAGGTATTACCGTCTCGGGGCTTGTGGAAGCAGTCGCTCTGCAGTATGCAACAGTACACGGCTGTGAAGCTTTTGATGCAATAGGTCGAGCGGAAAGTCGTTACGTTTTCAAAGTCTCAGGGCTAACCGAATATTTGCTACATTCAGATTGGCGTGTCATGGACTACCATTGGGTTGCAATTGCACGGCGCAAGCACGAGCGTCTTCATCTTGAGCTTAAGCGGCTTGATAACGACACAATTATTAAGCTTGCACCCGCACGTGCAATTACGCTCACTGATATGCATCAACGTGATTGGCTTGGCTGTGCGCTCTATGGTGATTACGATGAGTCTGAGTGGACTGTATCTCCGCATTCTTTGCGAACCACAAATAATGTGCTCGAGGAAGCAGATGCGGCCAGTGATGGCGAATTTGATAGCAGCGCAGCATTATCACCTTCAGTAGCGAGTCTGATGACGCTTTCTGACATTCCACCTCAGGTAGCGTGGCGTGTACTTGTGCATCGTAGTGTGCATTGTCCTGGCGACTTGCCCAGCGAAAGTCTCGAAATTGAGCTCCAACTCTTCAACGCGGGGACTGAGGATGAGATTCTATCTGGAACTGGTACTCGAGTCCACTCTCGAACACAAGTGACAGCCCTGATCACGAAATGGGTCCCCAGCGCTGTGCTCCAGCATCCGCGTGCCACTAAAGCTTGCACACTGCCACGTTCAACGCGACTCACTCTTACTGTTTTTGCGATTGGTAGTCTCGATGCGGATGCTTGTCATGACAATGTGTGTCATAACAATATCAGCGTTGATGCTAGAAGCGATCCAGGTGCTGCCAGTCGGCACCGACTGTCTGCAACGAAGGATCGCATCGCCATAGCACAAGTTGGGCTTCCTATCGTCGATGACTGCGGACTTCTCCGTACCGGCAACATGCGGCTACATCTATGGCCATGTGATGCAATTCGCGCTGCACGTAGACTGAAAGATGTTAAGACTGCAGATTATTGTGATGTACAGGTCTCTGACAAAAAATTCGATTGGTGCATAACTGGTGGGAATCCTCAGAGAGATGCTGGTGCCTTAGATGTCACATTTCTTTTGGATGGTGTCACAAATCCCGTCTTTGCTGACGATGTTCCGACCATGGGTGACCTTCTTTGGACCAAAAATAATCAGAACACTGATGAGCCTATTCTAGGATTGGATAGACTATGCTACTTAAATGACGGGAACAGCTCCACCAGTGCTAATGGTAAGCCTGGCTTCTGTGAAAAATATAGGCTTTCATTCAACATCTTAGCTATGGCTCATAAAGACTTGCAGCCAACCTCTGCTACTTCTTGCCTTGAAGAGAATCACTCAATCAGTACCCTACTGTGTAGAGCGCCCCTTCGACGTCTTTCACAACATGAACGCGAATCTTTATGGGAGTACCGTGAGAAGCTGCGTCTGCTGCCCGAGATAATGCCAATTTTTTCGCTTGCTATTCCACGCCAAAATCGTGATGCATTTGCCGAGGCACGCGTGTTTGCAGCCTGTCATTGGTGGCAATATAGAAACATACAAGAGGCCCGGTGCTGTCGGCGCTGGGGTATACTGTCCGCACAAACACGCGTTGCACTCGCGTGTCTCAGTGCGCAACATGCCGACTGCTTTACCCGCGCCTTTGCCTGTCAACTTCTTGACGAGCTCGCAGACAAGTCGCTATTCGAAATTTTCCTGCAGCTCACACAGGCGCTCAAATTAGAAGCTCAACATGACTCAGCTCTGGCCCGCCTTCTGATTCGCCGCGCTGCTTGCAGCCCTCTTTCTCTCGGTCACCGCCTGTTTTGGCTTCTCCGTGCAGAGATGCACTTGCCAGGATTTTCTGAGCGCTATGGTGTTGTGCTTCACGCATTTCTTTCATGTCTTGACTCTGACTTTTGTGACCGCCTGGATGCTGAGTGTAAGCTTGATTCCATCCTCTCTAATGTCGCTGCTCGTGTTAAGCACCATCCCACTAGAGCTGCGCGTCAGCATTGCGCCCAGCGATGGTTGACCGCCGCCAATCATGCCCTCAAAGATTTTGAAACCGAACGCCACCAGCGGCTGGCAAAGCGTCTTGGTGTCAATGCGGGCACCTCTGTACACAATGCTTGGAAAGCTATTCACGGGTACAGCACGTGTCTGAACCCAGCGTTACGCTGTGGTAGGATTCGTGTGGAGCAATGTAAAGTGCTCACTTCGAAGAAGTTGCCTCTCTATGTGGTCCTTCAAAATTGCGACTGGCGTGGCGATGACTTTCACCTCATTTTCAAAGATGGTGATGATCTCCGTCAGGATCAGCTCACGTTGCAACTTCTCCGCCTCATGGATGGTCTCTGGCGCAATGCAGGGCTTGACCTTCAGATGTTGCCGTATGTGTGTGTCGCTACGGGCCATAATACTGGAATGATCGAAGTTGTGCCCAGCGCGACGACTACCGCTGACATCCAGGTCGAATATGGTGGCGGCGCTAAGGGTGCCTTCAATGACCAGGTTGTTTCCTCATTTCTTCTGCAGCATAACCGAGATGCAACGCAGTATGAACGTGCACAGCAGAGCTTTCTTAAGACTTGCGCAGGTTACTGCGTTGCGACCCATGTTCTTGGTATTGGTGACCGCCACGCCGATAACATCATGGTTACAAAACGTGGTAGACTTTTCCACATAGACTTCGGCCATTTTCTTGGAAATTTCAAATTCAAATACGGCGTGCGGCGTGAGCGGTCCCCGTTTGTCTTTACACCCGAAATGAAACGTGTTATTGTCCACACCCCCGGAAGGATTACAGAGCAAATCAGACTTCTTCATGATATCCGATTAAGTCGTGGTGATGTCACTGGTCATTTTCCTCTGGGTTATCCTCACTTTGAGCACTTGTGCCGCCGTGCATACAATGTATTTGCATCTCTAATCACAGGATGACAGACTTACATTTGCCCCGTGTAGGTCCTCCGTGTGAAAGGTACTGTTATCGTTACACTTTTTACTCTAATGCTTCCAGCTGCTATGCCAGAGCTACTTGACTCTGAAGATATCGATTATTGCCTTGGACAACTCGCACTTGGTCTCTCCCCCCGGGAGGCCGCTGAGTCGTTTAGCAGGGACATCAAGCTTGCCCAAGCTGCCATCTCCAGGCGGCTTGACAACTACATCCATAACTGGAAGCACACCCGCGCAGAACCATCGTAATAAATTCTTCCAAGTTGCCTCAGTATTACTGGCACAAGTCGGCAGGACCGTTCACCGGGTAATTGCTCGTGGCCTACAAGAGGAAAACCAAGACTGGAGAACTGCCAAAACCTAGTACGGCAAGCAGCTCTGCACAAAAACGTGCTCCTGCCGGCGAAGGAAAGGATCGAAGAAGCACTGAACTTCGGAGGAATCCAAGAAATCACCGCAGGAAGCAGGGCGCGCATGGAAGAAGTAGACGCGGTCGTTGCGAAACTCGAGGACAAACTGGGAAACAACTGGGCAGAGTTCACATCGTCACGCAACAGCTTCCACGGCGTCGAGGCCAGCAGCATAGTGCGGAACCTCGACTCGTGGCGTGGAACCGAACAGGAGCGACGCTACGTCCTCGAGAAATGCGAAGACCACTGGCACGGCATAAGCTAAACGCCCCCGCCGACGACGACTCTGACTGAAACTATTCAGTCCCGACTCAGTTCGACCTGAGTACGACCGCGGCCCCGCCCCCGACAACCATCCCAAAAGGCAGCCCCAGCCACTGTGACCCCGAATATGGACGCCTCCGCCCGCCACGCCTCCTAGAGCAGGCTAACTGTGATTTGCCTCGATAATCCCCGGGAAATCCAGCGATCCGCAGCCGCGCCCCATACTGAGACTGAGTCGACTCAGTAGTCTCGGTATGAGCCGCGACGACCGGCCGCGCGGCGGCCCGGAGGAGGCCCCACTCAACCCCGCTAGAGAATTTTCTCTAGTTAGAGGGATGTGAATTCTCTCTAGTTAGAGGGATCTATCTGAATAGAGCACTAGCTTGAGTCACCATCATCCCCCATAATTTACATTACCTTACTCCCTTACTATCGCGACGGCACACTATGGAGATGGCACTGTGGCGAAGTACGACAAGTCCAGCCAGCTGGACTCCAAACAGCAACGAGATAGTAAACTCCGGGAGGGGGGAGCAGCCTGATGGGGCTACCCTGCCGTCCGAGGGTGAACTATCGAGGTTACGCAATGGCGGCCCGGCGTCTCTGTTATCCTCACGTCACCTCAGCTGCTGGACGAACGGGCAGCGGACCTGCCTCACTAGGTCCAGGAAGACTCTCCGTCTATTACAGTGCGGGACGCAACTATAACAGGGTTAGAAAGTATTAAGGGAGGGAAAGGATATTGGGTGGCTCTGTACCAGCGAGCCACTAGGGCGTTACAAAACTCTCTGTCTCTCTAGCCCAGGAACCTCCCGCTGGCTTGCCGCTGGCTCGCCCCAGGCGGGACCCCAGGAACCCGCGAGGTCCACGCGAGGCCCAGCGACGACGTCCCCGGCAATAATGGGCCGGCGGCTGGGAGCGGCGGGTGGGGCTTTACTCAGGCGCCGGGGCCCTAACCGGGCCCCAAACTAGAACGCGTCGTATTTCCCGCGGGCTCTGCCGGGCCTCAGTGCAAACATGAGTACTGGGTTTCTGGTTTGGCTAGGCCGACCAGCGTGTCGATGACAAGGGCCTTTTCCTCTGCGAATTGGTCATCATCTCTATCATTATGGAAGTTCCGGAGGTATGCGACAAGCTTGTCTTTATTCTTGAAAAGGATCGAGTTAATAGCATCTGGCTTGCGTGGGTTGGCTACGAAAACCTGCACCAACAGACTATGACACGACAACTCATCACTGTACACAGAGAAAATTGGCTTTAAATACATGGAACGCTTCTATTTGAATCCTCGCCTTTTTGCTCCTGAGGAGACTCATGAGAACCTTGAGGTTCTCAGGGTCAGAGATATACTTCATCATAGTGCTGAAATTGGCCCTCTCGAGCAGCAGTTCGCCAAGTAGGCGAAGGCTCTCACGGCATGTAACGTAGTTCTCTGATTGAAGGAGCTGGTTGTAGTGCAGCACGAACGTCTCATAGTTGGCCTCGATGAAAGCTGCAGCTAGAGAGCAGTGGCCAACAAGTAGAGCCTTCAGCAGCTCGAAAGCATCTGATGCCACCTCGAAGCTTTTGAGACGCACAAAATCCTAGTATAAAATTGATTATTCAATCAAGAAGCGGGACAATCTTACTGTAAAAAAACGCCAAAAGTATGGTGCTTCCAAAAGCGATTTCGCGACAATCTCATGCCTCGCTGTTTCTCTCAGCCTACTCCAAGACAATTACACCGATACTTGTTTTCTTGTACACTGTGCATGACATCATTCCGCAAATGAGAGCAAGGTCAGCTTTGTCGTCTTTGTACGCATCGATGAGAGAGGAGAGAATAATAGTATTGTTGGCCACGTTCGCAGCAAATGCGGCTCCGTCAGATCTACGCGCAAGGTTGGTAAACACATGGGCTGCATTCTTCCGAGTTTCGAGGGGTAGAAGATGCAGGCATGAGACCAGCATCACAGCAAACTCTGGTTGCACGATAGCTGCGGCTGCTACTCGTGCACCCCTACCTTCATCATGGTCTTTCTCAGCATCGCCTAAATACTCTTCAGGGCAAGACATTGTTTGCCCCCTGACACAGGCACTCGCCGATCAGGATCAATTTTAATTCCTGAAGTTGCTTATCTACAGTCGCCGAGGCCATCTGCGCGTTGGCTTGGGCGGCGGTGGCGTCGGCGCCTGTTTCGAGCGCCTCGTCAACTGCACGCATCGCAGAAGTTAGCCGCAACGCGGCGGAGGTCACTGTCGAAATTAATTCTTCCGGTGATGCGGAGCGCGCTAGAAGCCACATTGCGCGCCCGAAGAGGCGTGTTTCGGAGGTGGAAAAATCATGAGGCATGTAAGAGGCCCGCAGTCGGCCGAGGCTCGGCCGATTGGGGCTGGTGGAGCCTTGGTGGGCCGCCAGGGTACCTACCTACCCCGGGTTCTATCGCCGATTTTCGGCCGCCGCGGCCAAAAAAAAGTTTCGGCGAGTGACGTGGTGGCGGCGCGGCGGTAGCCGGCCAGGTAACGCACGCGCGCTGCGCGGGTGCCGCCCGCGTACGAGCAGATGATGAACGAGTCGATAGTGGAGACGTCCAGCCGAGACATGGACAGGACATAGGGACAATCACCATCCAAGACAACGCAACGCGTCTATCGGAAAACCTGCAAACCGAACGGATCACCAAGTCACAACACAAACTTTACCAGTGGATACGTAGAGAGACAGAGAGGTCCGTCGGCTCTAGGGGGCTGGTTCCCTCGGTGGGGCTGTCCGTGATGCCATCTAGCCATAGGATTTTTGACAACTTCGAATAGCCTATCAGGCCCGGCGGCATCATTAGTGGCAATGGCCGCTCTTGCCGCGCGTGCTCGGCGCCAGCGCCGTCTCCAGCCGATCCGAGATTATCGGGTGGTCCGCCGTGACCCCGGCGAGGTTGGTGGCAAGCGCTGTCGGCGGCGGCGATCATCTCGACGCGCGCGCACGCGTCGAGTAACGGGATCGCAGCCGCGGCGCGCGGCACCGCCTACCTCCGCCCGACGGCGCCGCGCAGACTTCGGGGCCGTCGGACCTTTCGGCACACTCCACGCGCCGGCCGCGGAGCCGTCTAGGTGTCTTCGCCGCGCGACGTTCGCGCCGGTGGAGCCCGCGGCGCGTCGGCGACGTCGTCCGCGGGCGCCGCGGGCGCCCGCCGCGCGCGGCCTCGGTCCGCCGCAGCGACGCGCGGCGCGGGAACGCGTCGTTCGATGTCA